AAGATATTCCTTGTCAGTCGTCGTCGTCGTCGTCGTCGTCGTCGTCGTCGTCGTCGGCGTCGGCGTCGGCGTCGGCGTCGGCGTCGGCGTCGGCGTCGGCGTCGGCGTCGGCGTCGGAGTCGGCGTCGGCGTCGGCGTCGGCGTCGGCGTCGGCGTCGTCGGCGTCGGCGTCGGCGTCGGCGTCGGCGTCGGCGTCGGCGTCGGCGTCGGCGTCGGCGTCGTCGTCGTCGTCGTCGTCGTCGTCGTCGTCGTCGTCGTCGTCATCGTTGCCGTCGTCGTCGTCGTCGTCGTCATCGTCGTCGTCGTCGTCGAGGCCGCCAGGCCGCAGCCAGCGATCCAGACGAGGAGTACCTACGGTTTGAGCGTCTTTGTCGGATCTGTTCTTTTGCCGCTTGGTCGCATTACCCTTAAGTCGGGCCTGTCCCTCTATAGGGGGAATGTTCAAAAATAGTCCCCCCAAAAAAATGGGGACGATATTTTACCCCTTCTTATCGTTGTTTAAGTCGCTCCAACTTCTTTCCTACAGAAGACCAAAATAATTAAAACATAAACTAACAATACATAAAGAATTGTAAAATCAAAATATATTTAAATGAATTCAACAATAAATCATATCAAATTAAAATTATTTATTAAAAAATTTTAAAAAAATGTAAGGCGGACACAGCCCGGCCCCCTAAAATCTACGGCGCCCACGTGCCAGGTCGCGAATCCGTAGCCCTCCTCCTCTTCACTCCTCATCTTCCTCCTCCGCACATCCTCCCTCCCTCCTCCGCCTCCTCCCCCCCCCCTCCCCCCTCCCCCCCCTCTACAATTACACAATATGAATACTATTTTCCTCCATCCCCTGATGGCGTGCGGAAGATAGCGGGCACCCCTCCGCGTACTGTTTTTTACACAGGATTTCCCGGAATTGGGTTTTCGCTTGGTTTTTTGTCAAAATGATGCTCTCGCTGAGGCGCGGGCTTCATTTTCGGGCTTCCGCTCGTTCCGAATCGTGCTCCCGCTGCAGCGCTGGCCTCATTTCCGTGCTTCCGCTCGTTCCGAATCGTGCTCCCGCTGCAGCGCTGGCCTCATTTCCGCGCTTCCGCTCGTTTCGACTCGTGATCCCGCTGCAGCGCTGGCGTCATTTCCCGTGCCATGCCACGGCATGCAATGCAATGCTAGGTTGCGTTCCGCTGCGCGATGCCATGCCTTCAGCTGAAACTGTGATATGCAGTGCTTAAGTGCCACGTCGTGCTATGCCATGCTACGCTTTGATCTTCAACGCCATGATATGCAATGTTATGTTCGGGGCCGCTGTGCGATGCCATGATTTGCGTTGCAAAGCTTTGTGATGCAATTCTTCACTACGCCACGCCACGCCATGCTGTGACATACTACGCTTTGCGGTGCTCTTCTACGCCATGCCACGCAGTGCTCTACAATGCATCGCGTACCCTTTCGGGATCATTGCCCTGCTCGACATCCGACTGTGCGAATAGAGAGGGGATCTACGCCATGGTAGGGGATGGGAGGTAGGGGTAGGATGTCAGATATGACGAGAGTGTACCCAGCTTGTCCCCCGTTCCCCCTCCTCCTGCCTCCTAACTCCCTTCCTCCTCCCCTCCTCCCCCCGTCCTCCTCCTCCTCCTCCTCGCCCGTCCCTCCTCCTCCTCCTCCCCCGTCCGCCTCCTCCCTCTCCTCCTCCTCCTTCTCCTCCCCCCCCCCTTCCAGGTCCGCGAATCCGTAGTCCATACTAGCGTGTGCCCGAGTGGAGGGGGAGGTCCCGCTGCGCGTGAATGCCTCCAGCCTCGCGAGCGCGACCCTCACGAACGCCTGCCTCGAGATCTCGAGCCTCATGGGCAACATCAGCGAGTACAACAACAAGCTGAACTCCCTGCACGGCAACCTACACAGCGTCTGGCAGCTCTCCGAGCTGATGCTGCCAAAGGTGGGCTGGTAAGGCTTCGAGTCGCGCCCATACAGCAGGGAGCACCTGGGGTGCGCGCAACCCGAAGCCCTACCAAGGCACACGCCCGTCAGGGCCCGCCCGCCCGAGCCGCCCGACTCGCTCGTCAGGGTCCGCCCGCCCACCCGCTCGTTCGGCTCCGCCCGCCCGACCCGCCCCGCCCGACTCGCTCGTCGGGAGCCGCCCGCCCAACTACGGTCGAGCATCTGATTAAGAAACCTCCTCCCGACAAGCTGGGCCAGCGTTGGTTGACCAACTTGCCGGACAGTTGGCCCAGCTTCCTTAGCACGTTCGTTTTTCTGGCGTTCACGGCAGAAATGTGCCCAGGTCTGCGCTGAGAAATCTCCAGGAACTGTATGTTGGTCTTTATTTCTTGTTTGTTTTGTTTATTGTTGGTTCTGTTGTTTTGGGTTTTTTTTACTTCTTTGTTGTTTTCTCCTCACTTGTTTCCTTCTTCTACTTTTTTGTCTCGTTGTCATTTGTTGTGTTATTTTTTCTTGCGTTGTATTTGTGCTATTTTGTTTTTTTTCTCTGTTTCTGGTTTGTCATCTCGGCCCAGATCTCTTGATTGATAAGTTTCTTTTCTGGATCATATTTTCGGCTGTACTCAATTTGGATCGTCGTCGCCGCCGTCGTCGTCGCCGCAGGTGGGCAAGATCTACCCCATGAAGCCCGTCGTCATCGACACCGTCAAGGACGTCATGGCCATGGCGACCAACGAGGTCGCCGGCCTCGCCGAGGCCGCGCCCTCGGCCTCAAGGGTCACGGCCCGGCTCTCCTGGCGGCCGCTGGGGAGGACCCCGGCACCCCCTTAGGAGGAGGAGGAGGAGAAGGAGGAGGAGGAGGAGGAGGGGGAGGAGGAGGAGGAGGAGGAGGTTTTTTTTTGTTGGGGACGGGCCTAAAGCCAGAGCACCTCCTCGTTCAGCCAAAATCGGAGGCCTCCGAGTCTGACTCGAAACCGCAGTCCGAGGCTCGGAGGGAGGCGGCCCCTAGGTCCTTGACCCAGGATAAATCCGACTCTGTCAGGCCGAACGAATCCAAAACCTGCTCTCGCGGGGCGAAGCCCTCCGCGGAGCCAACAGTAGCAGGACTTAAAACTCCCTGGGGGGCCTGGCCATCCTCTACCAGCGACTGAGCCAAGACCCTCTGCTCGGCGAGGCTCAGGCTCTCATGAGCCCCCAGAGTCAAATTCTTCAGGTCCTTCTTGTACGAGGGAAACTTGCCCTGCCGAATCCTTCTCAGCTGGTCATTAATTCCACCCGTCGTGAGTTTGGGCCTGCACAGGCCTTTAGCTCCAGCATTGGGAGCCCCAGAGGAAAACGATCCGCACCGACAACAAAATTGGATCCTACCCCTGGGGTTTCCAGGAGGTTCTATGACAGGGCTGGCCAAAAAAGCATGGCCGTTGGCCCGAAACACTTGCCGAGAGAAAGAACGCCACTCCTCCCCCAAGTCCGAAGAACCACCCACCTCCCTTTGATCGTCGCCCAGGGCCTGGCCGAGGGCATCAACCTCTTGTGAGTGCTGCCCCTGGCCATCGCTGCCTGTCGACCTGGGCACTAGGCCTGTAGTGTCACGGGGCCCGTTGGACATCAGTACCTCCACCGATCCAGCCCACCTGCAGGCCTCGCGGGCGAGGCACCTGAGGCCTCTGTACAGGCTGGCCTCTTCGTCGCTGACCCCGTGGCACTCGGCTCCTAGTTTGGCGAACTTATCTGCGAGCCCATTGGCCCGTCTTTCCCAAACACTGCTCCTGCCAGCCTCGACATCTGCCGCCGTGGCGTGGCCGAGCGTCTTGAAGCACTCGAAATCGCTGAGAGTGAAAGAGCTCCACACGGGGCCCCAAAGATGACCGCGGGGGGCTCCAGGGCCCTCCGCGAACCCAGGGCCCCGAGACAGCGAATCCAGAGTGCTCTGGCAATCTATATAGCATTGAAACGGGGGAAGACCAACTTGCGTAAGCATATATACAGCATAGTCTTCTCCATCTTTACTAGTTTGCTGCGGGGCCGCACTCAGAGGAACTGGACCATAGGCCGCCGAGAGCAACTCCCCAAACCTGTCGACCGATACGATACTCCAACCAGCCCGAGTGAGCCCATCGAGGCCCATGTATTTGGCCGACCCGTCCAGGAATAACAACCCCGTTAATAGCCCCGTCTCGGGCCTCTCGTGCCAGTGAACTGTTTGCGTGGGCTCCTCGACGTCGAAGAGCGAGCGAGGGCGAGGAAAGATGCACCTCGCGAACCTCTCCGCCATGAGCGGCCCGAACTGCTTCACTCTCTGCGCACACCTACACAAGTGAGCACTCGCATGGTCTCGCCGCAGGACTTCATGCGCAGGGCACTCGTACTGACGGTGCCACAAAGTACCTGGGCCCCCCTTGCACACTTGACAAAGATCATCATCGTGAAGGTTGTGAGCATGAAGTCGGGCTTGGGGCCAGTGAACTCCCGAGACCAAACCTCTTAAACATCTCTGATGGTGCTTCCCCCAGGTTTCGGACTTCTCCTTGAACATCCTGGAAATGCCATCCCAGAAGATAGGGTAAACAGGTGGCCCATCAAGGCCGTTCTGCAAGAGAAGGGCATGCCTATCTGACGCTCGCACGGCACCTTGCCTGATCATAGACCTGACCTGCATCGGGGAGAGCCTGAGCAAGTCATGCACAACGTTCAAGTCATCTTTGATGGTGTGCTGGTCTACAAAGTCCCAGCCTATGCCCCGCAACGTTAAAAGCGCGACGTCGCTGGGGGAAGACGCTGACCTCCAGGGCTGAGCTGAATTCTGAAACTTGGCGATCGAGACCCTCATGGTATTGGCCAACACCTGAACGTGAGGGACAGCTTCCCAAACCGCAGTCGCCCACATGAAAAGCACGTGCCCCACGTAAACCACCAGAGGGTCTACCTTGGCCCCAAGCCCGTACGTGTACATCCTGAGCCCAACCGAAGCACCTTTAGGGAGCCTGCCTAGGGAACTAGCAGCACCGATACGGAGCCCAGCCATTTTTGTGGGGGCCACCCCAGAGACCGATGATCCCCATAGGGCCGATGCCACTGGCCCCATCCTGTGAACCATCCCGATGTCGGCTCCAGCTCCTTGTAGTATCTTGAGCCTCCTGGCCCTGCGCGAAGCTCCTGCAAACCTTGAGTTCTGAATACCGATCCTGCGGAGGCCTCCCAAGGTAGCGTTGGTCCCAAGATTCCTCGCCGTGTCGGTGCGGCAAGAGGTGGGGAGGGACCAGGCCTTGGACAGGTGCGCCTCAACCTCCTTCGAGCAAAGGTAGGCACACTTCTTGAACGCCACAGGGAGCTGCAGCTGCTTGAAACTCTTGATCAGAGACTCTACTCCACCAGCCAGTTGGGCCGCCACCTGATGCTTGGGCCCGCAACACTGAACAGTGATGTCGTCCACCACATTACGCACATACAACAAGTTCCTGCTCTCACGGGCCTCCAATAGCGGTCCTAGTAGCAACATCTTGGCGAACGTCGTAGCCCCCGAGCACCCAGCCACGATTGCCCCGTTCGATTCGACGACGGCCGACGAAGCTCCCCCGTAAAGAAGCACACGGTAGCCTGCATAGATGGTACAGTACGCTTTGACCAGCCTAACTGGGAAACCAAACCGTTTAGCTGCAACCAGGAGGTCCCCGTGGTTGACATTCTCATAGAACTTAGCCAAGTCCAAGAGAGCCGACGCTGATTCGAAACCTGCTTTTCGACAATGCGCCCCGAGCAAGTTGTGGACCCATCCGGCCCTCTCGCACGTTGTGTCGGGCCCTGAGCCCCAGAAAAACTCGTACACGTGGGACTTTTCCCATGAGCGGCAATACGGCTGCCTCAACCGGCTCCAGAGCTTCGTGAAAAGGCATAGCAATCCGATCGGCCTGACCCCTCCCGTTGGTTTGTCCAAGAAAACCACATTGGTCAGGAACATCCCGACGGCCCCAGGGTCGACCTCGAAGAGCGTCAAAATCTCCAGGAGCCGAAACTGGTAACTTTCGGGCAGCTGCAATACCCACCTCGGGTTAAATCCATCCCAGCCTAGGCCCGCCGCGGGCCCGTACATCTTGCAAACTCGATGTAAATCCTCCAGTCTGAGCGGGGAAAGGGCAGGCTCGTCGGCAGGAACTTCCCAGGAGCTCGGTGCGGGCCCGCGGCCAGCTCGAAACCACATCGGATGCCACGCATCGACAAGCTCTTGCACTGCGGCCTGACCAGCCACTGGAAGCCGAGGATCATCCGACATACCTCGCGAAAAACCACACGAGACCTGTTGCTTGGAGAAGGCATGAGCAGCTTTACCACCTCCAGAGACGGCACTCTTGGCCCATTCCTTCCACTTAGCAAGCTGCGAAGCCGCGTCCAGCCTCTGGCGACGGGTGCACTCTTTGCAGATGGCCCCATTGACGTCGTCGCTCCAGGAACCTTCTCCCGATGCCGCCCTAACAATGGTGTGCAACTGGGCCTTTGTGGGCCCATCTTCCGTCAGCTGGAGGTCCTCCAAAATGTCGAACAGCTTAAGCTTCCAGGATCCCAAAAGAGCTCTCCCCTTGGCACCTGGGTTCCCAGCACTGATTGCCTTTGCCTTCTTGAGCAGGGCCTCGAACGAGATCCAGCAGACAGTCTGCTTCGAAAACCGCCGACGGTGATCTCGCTCTAGCAGCGCAACTAAGGGAACTTTGCGAGACTGGGGCCCAGCGGAGCGACCAACGTACCCTTTCTGATCACTTATTCCATGAATTTCAACCAGGCGAGCTTCGGCTTCCCCGAACCACTCCCGAGCGAGCGTGTCCAAATCTGAGTTTAGAGGGTCGCTCCATTGGAAGTCCCTTTCCTGCGGCAGCGGCCCCATGAGCGCGGTGCTGAACGGCTTGAAACGCGTCTGCTGCTGGACCACCGCCGTCTGGCAGAGGTTCCCCAACCGAAGCAGCACAGGGCAATGGGGAAAAAGAGGCGCTCCTCGGATAGCCTGGACATCTTTGATGCACGAACTGATAGCCGATGACACGACGAAGAAGTCAAGCTCCCGTCCTCCCCCGTCATGCTCCGTCAGCTCCTCCTCCTCCATATCTTCTCCCCTGGCAGTCCTAGGAGCGCAGGCCGAGCAGGTTGCCTGGCCAGAAGCGGCTAGCGCACCGTGCACATGCTGTATCCAACCTGATAGCTGGAGAGCCGCGGGCGTGAAATTCCAATCACCTTGCACAACCCACGGACGCTTACTGCACAAAAGAAGCGCTCCCAGAACTTCCAAAATCTCTAAATTCTCGCCCGTCACGCCTATGTCGTTGACGAGATAGACACTGTAGATCTCAAGGCCCTGGTCGAACCCCGCGTTGATGACCCGACCTACGATCCTCCCGTCGAACCTGCCCAAACCTGGAAGATCCAAGGGCCTCGAAGCGAGCTCCCCAGCAACCAAGATACCGACTCCTCCAGAGCTTTGCAAGGGCCCGTCGCCTGTGCTGAGGGCCTTTCCGAGAGACACCTGGTACCCATTCCTGCAGGCCCAACTCTGGGCCGAGATGATCTTGTCGGGGGACTTCAACCTTGTCTCCTGGAGCGTGACCACCTGGAACTTGCTTTGGACTAAACCCCAAGACTCCGCCCCAGATCCTCCGACGTCAGCTTGATCTCGGACCCAGTTCACTACAGTGTCCGCCGTAGACCAGCTGTTGACGTTGGCTCCAAAAATGCACAAGTCTGCAGATCCCCGCGCTACACCAGAGACGCGATCGTCCGCAAGAAGATTACGAGCGGGA